TTCGCCGACATCAACGACATCGTATGTTTGACAAGGTCAGGGTCAATTAGCTGGGTGGGTGGGTTGACAGCTGCATAGACACAGGCGAAAAGCCATTCCAGTGCCCCCTCTGCTACAAATCATATGCAAGAAGGTACGCAGTGTGGAATTGAAAAGCTCTGGCCTTTCTTACGTGCCCTTTATTAGTGACGTGCTTGCTCGGCATGTTCGAAACCATGGGTCGGAAAACCAAGAGGACAGGGTGACTACGGAGGGCCGAGAAGATCGAGAAGATTGCACAATTGTCACAGAAGAATCTGCGCCAGAGGCATCCTTTGAATTGCAGCAGACGAACTTCGCTAGCGACCAACGTGCTCTCGGATTGAGCCATGGTGGCGGGATAGTTTCTTCTTTCGACTACCGAGCTGTATCAGCCACAACCCCCAGTGTTAATACTATCACACATGCGATGCAATTTCCAGCCTCGGAGCAGATGCAGTCGACAGAAGCTTTCTCAATTTCCGACACTGGCTTTGATCTTAGCGCACTTTGTGGCTACAACCTTGATTTTCCTTCGGTCTTCGACGCCCTCGACAGATGGATCACGCCCGCCCCAACGGCAGACCAAAGCATGCTGCCCTTTTCACCTTCGGGTCAGGAAAGCACAAATGCAACTCTGTTCGATGCCGCGTCCCTAGAGCTGTCGAAGCGCGTGCAGCAAGCATGGCCAAGAAGACGTGCATATCCTGTCGTACGTGTGATTCGCAACATGTGGCGCTGCGCCGCGGGGCACACTGCCGACAACTTCTTCTCAAACGCATTGCTCGCGGGCCAATCTCGATCTCAGAAGGCAAGTAGCCCAAGTTCAAGGTGGAATATGGACGACGAATGCAGAGCTAGACTTATGTCTGATTGTGAGACAAATCTCCTCCCTGCTGAGAGCTACACCGGCGGAGTCACTGCTCCGGGATCGCCTCACATCTCCGTACCTTCAGTGCAAGAAGAAGTGGAAGTGGAAGGTCTGTCACCTCAGGCACCTCGACTCCCATTCCCTGCTACAGAAACGCTGGATATGAGCATCGACTTTTATTTCCGGCGATTTCATCCAGTCCTGCCCTTTTTGCACAAAGCCACCTTCGATGCAAAGTTAACGCCTAGCTGGCTCTTGCTGCCCATATGCTTGATCGGACTGTCAATTCTCAATCCTGGCGGAGCGGAAGATCTCATTCGACTATACCTCGGCAAATTAATACGGTTTAGTCGGCTGAACCTCACTTATAAAGGTCTCGGAAAGGGAGGAGCTCATCAACTTTTGACGTCCCTAGCATCGGCACTTCTCGTGCTATATCTGGGTTTGAGCTGCGAGAAATTAGTCGACGAGTATCAAGCACATATGCTTGCTATACAGACACTCTTCATCGCTGATCGCCATGGTATGTTCTCGGCTCATGATGGCGAGACGGTAGCACTGGAGATGTTCCAGAGTTTCTCGAGTCCAGAGGAACAGTGGAAGGCTTGGGCACGGGTTGAGTCTTTGAAAAGACTAGTAACATGCTTGATATCGATCGATTCAGCTTATACCAGGATGCTTGATCTGGCCGCCAATATTGGAATTGAAAGGGTAGAGGTGGTGTTACCTTGTGACTCGACCTTATTTGATGCGCCTTCAGCAACCGTGTTCTTCTGCAGGGTCGAATCTGGAGCATCGATGATGACCCGCCAAGTTGATTTAGCAGCAGCGCCGCTAGGAGGAGGGTCACCGATCTCTACTCTCGATTCCCTAGGTTTGAGAACCCTCCTCGACGTTCTCTCCCTGCGGGAAGCAGCATACAGACACAAGCTTCTCTCAAAGGCGACGTCTTCCTCCAGACTCACGTCTTTTGTTCCATCGCTAGCATATGCGCAAAACGAGAGTGCATCGAACATCGCTAGGGCTCTGGTATCCATTGCCACGACCAAGATGCCTATGATCCACCAAGATGCGCCAGGAGCGTTGACTTGGAATCATCTCTGCCTCCTATTGTGCGCAGACATAGATCGAGTCCAGACTGCATGCAGCAGGACAGGTTTAGAAGCCTCACAAAAGGCCATGAGGGACCTTTTATTGTGGTCGCAGACGTCTAGCGCACGACGGGCTGCCGTGCACTCAGCACAGATCTTCAGCATTCTCTCTCAGCGGAGAGTTTCCGACTTCAAGACTTTGTTGCCGGAATTGGTCTTGTCGAATGCAGCTCTAGTCATGGCTATGTATGTCTGTGTCAGCCATTGGAACGACCATTCTTATGACGAACCCACTGAACTTTTGCAAAGTCCCGATTGGTCCAGCATCGGTGATGAAGGTTTCTGCACGCGGTCTCGACTCGAAGACAATGATCGCTTGGCGACGTCCGTGAACAACAAGGTCTGGAGATTCATCGTGGAGGGAGGAGCATTTACTTTCGGGGGTGAGACATACTTCCCGGGTGCTGTATCAGCGCGAAAGATGGTGCTCGTCTACGCACAACTTGTCGACGAGATCTCTCCCAGGCCCGGGTCGGAACACTCACGGCTTCTTCGCACAATCGGCGATTTCCTAGGTGCAGCAGCGGAGCAATTGACTGTGCCGCTGGAAGTTGGCTAAAAGAGAGGAACTACACAATGCCACCTACATTGGCGCGGTCGGCAAAGACCAATGGTAATACATCGCCGCCAGAACGAGCGCGGTCCAATAAAACGCTCCTTATCTCGGATACCACGCCCATTTGTTACATTCTCAATTCTGGTGTCTCCGGAAACCTTGAGTTTGTGCCGGCTCCCTAGAAGTCATAAATTGCGGTCTGAAAGAGAATGCACTACAAAGACTCTGCCGAAGGGATAGACAAGGAGACATGATTGAGAAGACAGACCAACACTATCCATTTACGTCATCAATATATCAGTTCTCAGTCTCACAATTTCACAGTGCCAACGCTACGAACCGAGGTTTTGGCGTTTCAGTGCTCAGACTCTTCTGCGAAGGAGTTTACTACCATTATTAAGTAAACCTGGTTGCGTGTGACCACATAAGGTAAGGGTCTAGTTTTTCTGAGACAATGGAGTATCTCAATAACAGCTTGGAGACATATTGACGGCAGGTAGCGTTGGCCACCAGCACGAGGATCGCGTATAATTATTTTGATGGCTCTGCGGCTTCAACCACCACGATGTGCTTAGAACTTTGTCAGATCAACTACGACTCAAAGTCGCACTTCAGCCCGATTTAATCAACGTGCGCTCCGAATATTCACGTGAACAGATCTAGCCTTCCAGATATGACTGTTTGCGAAAGCTTCCAACTACTGCAGATATATGTGAGTTACGGATTTATGAGAACAGTCTTTCCACCTGCGCTAGTGGAACCTCAGTCTCGATCCCATCCTCGACTGCGGTTGCGTATACGGCTTACTCGCGCGGCTTCTCTTATACACCCTCTCTCATGCAGACCTGTTTGCATGACGCATATCTCAACCAGCAATCAAGCACCCTTCAATAAGGCACCATGCCGTGCTCTTGCATCTTGGCAACACGCAATTCAAGTGTAAGGCATGTATTTTGGAAGAACAAAGTCTGCAAACTTATATACGCTTTCTCCAAAAAGTCGTGCTAGTACTTGATCACTTGGCTTTTCGGAGCACGAAGTCAATCACCACGACTAGCAGGTTAAGGCCTCATAAACAGATGTAACGATGAGCGAGAACCCTTACAGGTACCTCACTATACTCTGACCAAAGCTGGGCGGATGGGATTTATGTTATTCTAGTTCAACAGATCGCGTGTCAAATGAGATCTTCTAGCAGTGCCGTTCCCGGGATGCGACGAGGGAGGACCCCACCTATTGGCCTTGTTAGCGATGATTGCCACAACTACTAATTCTTACAGTTCAGTGCACACTGCAGCGAAATCTACCGCCAAACTTGGCTGCTAGCGCTGGTTCTTTTGGAGGGTTCCTGCCCTCGATGCCAGGATCTGTGGGCCGGTCTCTTCACAGTGTCTCGCTACTATTGCGACCACACCAAAACTTGCTATAGCGAAGAAGGGAGAGAGATCTCTGACCACCCACATATCTAGGCGGTGCGCAGAATACCGGTTACAATCGATTCTGTTTAGTCCAGTACCAGTTTGACTTCGAGGAAGAGTCTCTCGCCTTCCATAGTGAGGCAATGCCTCCGAATAGCGACTTCGCCTAGTGCTCGAAAATAGCGCCACCTCTCTTGGCTGGTATTCATTTCTCCTGATCACAAGAGTTCTGTATTTTAATGCGCTAGTGTAACAAGGCAAAGTGGCTGTGCTGTGCTGTGCAGGGCTGGTAGAGTGGTAGCAGGGGGAAGAGAAGTTGTCTAGTCACATGTCAAACCAAAATGGGCTGGCAAGGGACTGCGGAACAGTTTACAGTGCTGGCAGAGTGCCATTCTTTACAATAATTTAGAGAGAGTATCAGTAGTCCATGCTTTTGATGCCGTCTACCTGTTCCTAAGTGTTTCATCGGCCCGTTCCTACTTCTCATTGCCGTCGCCGTGCTAGGCGGTCGCTACCCTAGCCGCTGCCTCTCTGGGGTCCGTGTTGGTGGTGGTGTTGCCCTGTCAGTGTCAATCAGAAACGCGCTCTCGATTCCCGATCTACAGGCTGGACAGGCCTCTGTGCGTTGTTGTACGTACACGCCGAACCCTGAAGTGCTCTGTTACAACAGTGCCAACTCCATCCCGCGCCCGGAGGAGAGCATCGAACGAAATTCCACTGCCCTCCTCGATCAACATTCGCCAAGTTTCTGTCGGGGTCGGAATTCCTTCTGGAAGAGAGCCGCCCACGGCCGACTTCCTTATCTTGTCAAAATGCTTCAAGACGACTTCTCAGACGCTGGCAGACGAAAAATTGGGGGTGAATTCAAGGAGACTGGAGCAATGAGACCAGGAATCAGGCAGACGGATTTCGGCGCCGTATTCGAACAGCTGCTGAACTATTGCTTCATTTTCGTTGAATATTGCCTCAGTCAATCCTAAATTTTCCTATCCGATCGGTGTTTCTAGCGACGCTCCTGCATCCAAAAGCAGCTTTATTGAATCCAGGGATGAAGAAAGTGCTGCTTTGGCAAGTGGTATCATCGTCGAACTGTTGACCGCTTCGAGGTTTGCCCGCCGCAGCAACAAGAACTGCACCACTCGAGCATGACCGCTTTCGGCCGCATAATGTAGTGGCGTGTTGGAATCTTCCCCTTTGGCATTGACAAATTCTTCGAGTGCTTTCTGGTTTTCGTCGGTGGTAGCCTTGAGAATCAAGCCCAGGACACGCTCCAGCCTCTTCTTCGAGGCGATGATAAACTCGGCATGTAGGTCGTCGTATGACAGGCGCGGGAGCAAAATCTCGACAATATTGTGATGGCCCCCCATCACAGCCGCTATCATTGGCGTTGCTAACTCATGATCCTTAGCCATTACACTGACAGAAGTACTCAGAGCGAGGAATTCGGCTACCGCCAAATGCCCGTGATATCAAGCGTAGTGTATTGCCGTTGGCTTCGCGTTATCCGTCGGCTCGGTGCGACTGTCGTCGAGGCCCTCGTCGCTCCTTCTGCATAATTGCTCAACAAGCTCGACAGATCCTATTCTTGCCGAGATCATCAACAGTGTTCGCTCTTGAGAATCCTTGAGTATCGAAGGATCTCGCCAATTCGACAGTATAGACCGGAAATTAGACTCCATTCCGTCACACTCGACCACCGTGAGCAAGCCATTCTTAATCATCTCTTCTGTGGCGATAATGGTATCGTCGTCACGCTTGTCATCGCTCGTGGAGATATCTCCGCCGCCGTCATCGTCGTGAGTGCTGCGATCATCACGTCTCGTATTTAAATATTGATAACCTCTTCAATGAAGTCGTATACACAAACGTAGCGACTTCATTGTTTCCACTTCTTAGAGCCAGAAATAGGGCGAAATCAGGGTTGCTCTTTAACGGGACGTGGCAATTATGATCGCAAGAAATTATTTGCAAGGTCTGCAAGAATCCATACTTGCTTGCAAGCAGCAACGGTAATAAGAAAACGTCTCTCCCCGTCAATGACGGGAAAGCTTCTCTCTCGGTAGGCATCACGAGGCCCAGCAGCCGGAGTGTCCTACTGAGTGCATACAGGCCCCGAGCCGACGTAAGCAGCAGGGGAAGTAGTGAACAGGGGAGAATAGTGCCGGGGCGGGCCTCTGTTAAGTCCTTGTTGTCCATTTTTGAACATGCTGTTTTCCATCAAATCTCGCAGGTGAGAGGTTTGTCCTTGGTGGCAGACATGCGCAGAGCGTTCCATGAATATGATTCTTCCAGGGCAAAGGGGGATATGTTACCGTCGTCGAATTCTAAAATCTTTCCCACAAATCCGCCATCGGCATACTCACAGGCGACTTGCAAGGCGGTTTCAAGGCGCTCTACTGCAAAAGTTCTCTGCTTATGCCTAAGCGAGTACTCTGGAGCCAGAGGCAGGGGGTCTGTTACTACGCTGTCATTTCCAATGGCGATTCTAGTTAGCAGGACTTTCACAAAAGACCGGCAGAGGAATACCCCCCTCCCCCCCCGGCCCTGGGGGGGATGCTGCGAGAAGTCGCGCGCAGATTGCTGGGAGCAGCGGCGATAAGTCTTTGTAGTAGAGCGGATTGACAAAGGTCGTCGGAAAGTCTCTCTCGAAAATTCCGGATCATTTCGAAGTAGTGATCTTCTGGTAAACACTCGCTTGCTATTCCAAGGAAGAGCCAGTCGAAAATGTCTTCCACAGCGACGGGTCACTCTGGCAGATGATGACGCACGAAACCGGCTGCGGCACGAAGAACCCATGTTCGATAACGGTAATGTAGAAACAGAAATAACTTTCGACTAAGGTAAGCAAAGTCAGTACCATATACACTGTTCAAAAAATCTTGGTTCAGAAATGGGTCGATTGATTGATTGAAACGTTGTCTGAGTGACAATGAGATTTAAGGAGGGGGAATTGCCTTGCCTTGCATGGCCTGCACAGCCTTACCTGGCCGGCCGGCCTGGCCTTGGCCCAGCCACGACCTCCCACGACCATGAATTCCCTTCTATGACTTCCAGGAGACTTCATTTAATGATCTCACTCACATCTTTATTAAGTAATGATATTAAATCAACACTACGATCTGAGATGATGTCTTTAGGCAGCAAGATCCTGGGGGCCACTGTCTCTGGCGCGAAAGCGATTGCTAACCACGGCCCGAAAGCAGCGGTAATGGTAGGTCCTCCTTTTATCTCCCGCATTTCAATTCACAAGCTGCTAACCCGTACTGGAAAATCTCTAGGCTGTTACTTGGACCGCCCAAAATCCAGGTCTAGCTGCATGCGGGGTCGTTGGGACTGCGGGCGTTGTTCTTGTTGCTGCTCCCAGCCTCGTTGTTGTACCAGTCCTTTCTTCAATAGGGTTTGGAGCTAGTGGTGTTGAAGCAGGTAAGCGGGACCAGGGGCAGACACTTCATAGCTGACCACGCTCCTCTTCTCGACTTCCTACCTTTGATCCGTACATTCACTAACCATTCCCAACTATACAAAGCGTCCGCGGCTGCCGTTATCCATGGCGGAATTGGAAACGTCGTAGCTGGGAGTCCTTTTGCTATAGCTCAAAGTGCAGGTGCTGCAGGTTCAGGATTAGCCGCTATCAATGGAGTTGCCCAAGCTGCTGGACTTGCCTTGACTGCTGCTGGTAGTGGAGGAATTGCTTGGATAATGTCCAAATTTTGAACAGGACGTGGCCGGTACACCTCGTGTTATCTTGACCGCAAATAATGCTTTGGGCATCAGTTTTAGGCGTCTTAGGAGAAGACTGGTTCCAACAGCAGTTGTGATGTGCAGGAGGAATAATGCCAGCGGTGAAAATGATTGCCATAAGCCATGTTTCGTAACGGAATTGTACGAGAAGCTGGAGTACTTTATGGTGTAATGGGAGAAGTTTGAAGTGGTGGATAGCGTTATGATTGGCTGGGGCGCCGACCCTAGACTAGGGTTCTTCTTATATAGTCCTCGGGGACTATCCTTCATAGAATTGACAATCAATCAAGTTACCAACAGAGAGGACTTCCTTGGGTTGAGTGTGCGTGTTGGGAAGAGGCTATACCCACCGCCGTACGAGTTGATGCCCATGGCTAGTAGCCTCGCCCCCGTTCAATGGTATCGCCTCTCTGGACGTGAATCCTTTCATCAAATCAACTGAATGTCAGATATCCTCAGAGGGCATTCAGTACAGAGACAGTTCCAAAGATACCTTGCATCTGCTGGTATCCAGATTGTTGACCTTGGAACCTTGGATGTAGACAATAGGGCAGCGTGACCAATTTCCTAATCTGGGGTTAGCCTTGGGCGGCCTTGGGCTAGTTTCACTTCTCTTGGCTGCGCAACGTCTTCCGATTTTCTGATATTGCTGGTGCCTTGGCCGACTTCTGAAAGACCAAGAATTCAGTCCACTAGATCAGCTTTTCGTTGTCCCTGTCTCCAAGTCCGATGAACGTGCCTCCTCCTCCTGACGCCAGTCAGTCGGCTCTTATCGACTCCTTAATCTCTGGGTTTGATGCCCTCCTGTCCACCGTCCGCGCGCACATCGAGAACGAAAAGGCCTTGAGGGAGAGGCTCGAGTTTGCAGCAAACGAGGTGAGCCGCTATCTTTGCCGTTTTATCACTCTCACACTTGCGTTATGATGAGAATCTTTTGATTAGCTCTAGATCAAGAGCTGCAGTTCTTTCGCAGCGATGAGCGACACATTGCATGTATTAGCTGAATGCAGATTACCCGAGCTGTTTTTCACAAGCCCTGCTTAATGGGAAAGGAGTGCTGATTGAAACATGTTGTAGTATGAGAAGATATTAGCTGCTGACAGCAGTCTCTCGGCCTCCTCCATTGCTCCGAGTGAAGTCTTCCGACAATTCCGACAGTTTCCTGCCATCAACACTGACATCGAGTGCTCTCTCCCTATCCGCGAAGCGCAGCAAGCCATCCAAAAGTACAAGATGTCCAAGACACAGATACCTCAGACCAACGGGGCGCGTTGCCCGATGTCGCTCCGAAATGGGGACCCCGAAGATCTTGAGCGGGATTTTACCACTCCTGGCGTCCAAGGGACATTGGGGTGCCCCTTTGCAAAGATGCAGAATGGACCTGGGTCGTCTGCGCACGCTGATCCTATAGCTGCAGAGTTCCACCAAGACACACACTCAGCGCGCTCGCCGAATGCAGAGCAACGTCCGGGGCAATGTCCTATCCGGTTCCTCGATCAACATTCTCCTGAAGAAATGGCTAAATATTTCGAGAACCACAAGCATGAAATTCCCCGAAGCCACGAAATCTGTGTGCGAAGGTACCAGGGCAATGAAATCAGTGCCCGACAACTAGATGCAAAGTATGGCAATTTGGTGAACATGATACAAGGACTGGGAGTTAAGCACAAAGCTTATCTGCCCGAGCGAGATCGGATTGACGAACATTCTACTCAGGCGGTGGAGAAATGGGCCGAGAATGTCAGTGAAGCTGCCGTCGCGCCTCCAGTTCCGGATGTCGTCCCTGATGAGGAGCCGAGATTATCACATTTTGAGAAGCCCTTGCGAGAGGTCCGGGTGGGAGAATCGCCCAGTCGGCCATGGGGGATCTCGGTGCCTGTTGATAAAGAGCCCACACCTAGTGCCCTTCAGGACGACGATGGTGTGGCACATCTGAAGATTCACTCCGCGAGTTCACGGCCTGTCCCACTCGCGTCGCGGGATGACCACCCGCTAGAGCGGAGTCCGAGAACGTCTCAGCAGAAGAGATGGACAGATAACTCTGTTGAGGGCAAAGAGGCCCGGACCCAGGTCATATTTAACGGCCCGGTCTTCTTCGGATATTCTGCAGAACAAGTGTCAGCTTTGCTCCAGAATACTAATCTGGGGAATATGAAACCTGGTGGCGGATAGACCACAGCCAATCGAGGCTCTGGCTGTCGACCTTTTGATTTTGTAGCGTTCAGAGCGAATCGATTGAAGACATGATGTGACGAATTATGGATGATACGAGATGTTGTACGAGTATTCGATGCCAATGTACCTCTACCTCAAGGGATATTTCATGTAGGCACGCTAGGAGTCAACCAGTCCACTGTGCAAACGGGAACAGGTTGAACTATGAAGGTCCAATACATTTATTCTTGCAACCAAAGTGTGTGAAGAAGTACCCACCAGCTCTAGCCGTGCAAGCCCGCATGACGCAAAACTTGCAGGCCGTGACTTCGGCGAGGAAGAGCTTGTGGCAAGAGTCCAAGCAGCTGGAAAGTGATATGTTGCGTCGCACAGAATGGGGAGAAATTCTACCCTTTGGAATCGTCTAGATTTCGGGACCCGTGGAGAGAACACGAGGGATTGAATATTTTTTTTCTTCTTTTTTTTATTCTCCTTGCAAGGCTTGTAGAGAAAGCACTTCGTAGGGAGAGTAACAATTCATAGCGACATAGTGACGTAGCCGGTGACCGACCACGTTTGTTCTGGCTTGATGGATAGGAGTGATTGAGCCGGGTGTTTTCCTTGAGCGATTGGAATGTGGAATGTAGAAGGGAGAAGTTCGTGAATACATAATACAGAGCAAGGATTGTACGGTCCAAATATGTGGGATTTTCCAAGTTTGTTGTTAAAGTCGGAAGCTTTACCGAGATAATTATTCCGGTGCCGGAGAAAATCGCCTCGGAAATCATAGTATTACGAGGTTCAGCCTCACGATACGCAGCCTCGACACGTTCCTCCCGTATTCCGTACTCGGTACTGCTGCTAGTTTCGTAACTGTTACTGAACTAGACCTGCGATATCCAAATATGCATGTTCTATGTCGAACAAAATCATTTGTGCCGACAATGGTCAATGATAAGCCAATAAGCCCGCTTATGGTCTTCCCTGCCAGACTTCTGCGAGGAAACTCTCCAGCTTTTTGGGGTTCCAGTCCGGAAACACTGTCGATAATTGCGGTGATTCTTGCGAGAGATCCAGCACGCCTGAGATGTAAATTTTGCCGTACAGGGTTAGCATATCCTTTCTGTCTTGTGTCTCCGAAGCCGACGCTTCCCACGCTGTGGAGCCTGGCTTCGGCAGCAATGTCACCTTGCCATTTTCCAGCTCCTGGAGACTGTCGTAGGTGAGCTCGAACTTGGACCCTGCAAGCTGCGTCAATACGTTGAATGCGATTCATATTGACAGTCATCAGTGTTCCCCGGGGAAAGGAGATACCGACCTCTTACTCTCTCGGCGGTGCTCAGGAACTCCTCGAAGGTGACATTGTCTCCGACTGCGAATGTCCACTCCGGCCATTCTTCCGCGTCTAGCAGCAGCAGAACAGCTCGAGCAACGTCAGCAACAAGGGTCAGGCTCAGAATATTTTTACCGTCCCCCGGTATGGCCGCTCTGCGATTAAAGAGGTCTACGCCCCATGAGAAGCCCGATAGGTGAGACTTGACATAGGGCATTCCCCAATCTGCATAATCAGTCAGACCTTGCATTTGGACTAGAAAATCTGGCCTTAGGGAGATATGCCCGGATGAACCGCCCGACAGTCTTCGCGGCGCCGGAACAGGATGACTTACAGTCCATGAACCAGCCGCAAACTATTCTCGTATACTGTAGGGAGCTGGACTGGAGCAGTGAGGCTGCATCTAGCCTCCACTGCACCGTGGGATCCAGAGGCAAGAGCCTGGGTAACAGCAACGCTATCCCGTTAGTAGGCTCTTTGACAGATTTGGATGTAACTCGCGAATGAGAAGAAGAGTATTAAGTCTGAGCAGGGAGGAGACATACTCAGGAACCGTCTTGGCCCAGTATTCACTGGGAATTAGACGTTTTGTTGCGCTGGACTTGTGAGCAGCTTTGATCAGATTGCATTGAGCCCGGCTCGTCTCAGCAGAGCTGATGCCAATCGTCGAAATAACGGTGTGGACATCCAGCTCGCCCAGCACCGTGGCAAGTACATCTACATCGTCGTAGTCGATGTGAATGTACTTTGTGCCAGTCGCAGATAACCCCGCAGCTTCCTCTGGGGGCTTCCGACTCAGGACAATGACCTTGAATTTGTTGCTGCTAAGTTCAAGGTGGTCAAGGATGGTTCGACCAACGCCGCCGGTGGCGCCGGCTATGGCAACTGTAATCATTTCCGTCATTCTAAGACGGCGAAGCACAGCAAGCAAGAGGGGTGCACCCGGTCCGTCTCCGATTTCGAAGCGAGGATATCTGCTTGTATGTAGAGTGCTGCGGGTATCTAACACGGAATGTACACTTTCATTCGGCACTTTGGCAGATGCAACAGCGTCAAGGGTGAAAGGCTTGATGCTCACGTGGCGGTCACTCAAATAGTTGACCCAGTGAACACTAGATTCTAGGCCCCGTCAGACTGCCCCGGATATACGAGGACCTAGGTGCTTACTACTAGGTAAATGAGCTTCCCAGGTCTTCAGTCACAAATTCCACTCATTCTTTCTACTCTAACCACGACCATTCGTCCCCTGTCGTGACCATTGCCTCATGCTGACCTCTACACGCTACCAGCAGAGAGCCGACAATGCGGACTTCTGGTTTTCCTTACTTGGACTGGACAAAAAGCTCGTGACAACCATCAAGGCGGCTTTTTTTTTTCCAGTTCGACACTTCCCAGCAGAGACGCGAGAGAGACTGGAGCCACTATGGCGTGTGCACTAGTCGTGCATTGATCGTTTCATTCGAACAGGCATAATGGAGACAAATCATGAGAGGAAACAGTTCCCAACAATATACAAAGAAGCACTTCTCCTTGACGATAAGGACAGCACCCTCGTCCCCCGGCTACACATGGTGGGTATTCAAAAACTAAGGGTCGTTCTAAACAAGGAATTAGGTGGTAGGGGCGTCAGTCGTTGAAAAAAGTGGAAAATTGTCGTCGTAGGACTCAAACCACAAAGTCGTTGGCGACATGGCCTGCAGGACCTTCTCAAATTCTTCCTGCGTCATGCTAGCTTCCTCTGTCGGTGCGGAAGGTCCGACCCGTCCTTTGTCTCTTGGTCTTGCACATCCAGCAGCAGCTCCGCTGATGAGACCTTTAGTTTGGGACATCGGGTCGTACTGCGCCGTGTCGCCGTGTTGATTGCCCTCCTCAAGAGGCAGCTGAAGTGATTGGTCCATCTGGTGGGATGGCTCTGTCGAGCTACGTGCCGTCGTCGTCGACATGTGCGCGGTGGGAGAGGCTGAGTACAATCCCGCGCTCGGCGCAGGGTCATCGTGAATCTTGCCAAACATGCCTCTGACCAGCACAGCGCAACGGTCCCTGTCCCACTTGGTGCGCCTCTCCGCCACGGTGTCGCAGGCATGCAGAAGGTATTCGACGATCGTGGTGTTCCTGCTAGAAATAGCGTCTTTCGGGAACATGGCGAGCAATCGATGCGCCAGTTTCAGATGGACGCCCACTGGGAAGATCTTCGCGACGTCGCCGAAATGAGCCAAACCTAGGACAAGTGCGGCGACAAAGATGTAGTTGACCAAGAAGGGGAGACGCTTTGGGACATTATTGAAATCAAGCAGAATCCGTAGGAGCTCGATGGTGCGTATCGCCGAGTCAACACAGGCATGCACAAGCACTTTGTCCGAGTAAGATGTCACACCCGCAGAGTTTCCTTCCGCCGACGGCACATTCGCCGTGGCGATATAGGATGAGACCGCATCGACCAAGAATGGACGCGTGAGCAGTATAATAGTCCAGTAATATGCTCCCTTTACGTGCATGAGCCCAATGTTGGGAGATTTCCCACCGTTGATAGCCGGTGTCGGCTTGATGCCGTCTTCGTCCAGGCCCTTGTGGAAGTTGGCAGCCCAATGCCTTTGATGCTCGCTTATCTTCTCCAACGCCGTGTTCGATATCATGCGTTTGGAATAGACTTCATTCATTATCGTCTCGAACACGGTGCACAGATCAACCGACGCCGAATAGTTGTCTTCAGATCGCGTATCGCGCGTCTCTGCTGTAGATGGGGGTCTCCCGAGGGAAGCACTCATGAAAACATCTAGGATGCGAATCACCTTCCAAAGCCTCTCTCTTGTCCTAAACTCGCCTGGGGTGAAGAGAGCAGCGATCTCTTTGCGGTGGAGACCGAGCGCGTATGCGGCTCGCACAGCCGTTCCTAGATTCATAAATGCAGCGTTCCTCCGAGAGGCGCCTAGAAGGTACATGGTGATCATTGCATAGGCTTGGACCGTAGAGATGCTGGGATCCTCGGCGAAGCTGACGGCGGTGAAGTAGCGACCGTAGCTGAAATACGTTTCAGCGAGCTGATCTTTGTCGTCCGGACAGGTCTGTGCGCCCAAAGCGAAGACGAGGTAGTATATCGGAGTTAGGGCGTCTGTCTCGGCGGATTTCCTCTCGAGCCAAGGTTGCAGGTTCTTGAATAGGTCCGCTTCGTCGAAGAGGTCGAGGACGCAGTTATTCGCCAGGAAGTAGGACCGGACGAGGTACTCTGCCTCTACGAGCGTCGGGGTCGGTGGGGTACCCTTGGAATCTGTGTATAGCCAATTTGGCCGGCCGTCGGGCGCAGCCTCAAGCATCTGGTATCGCAACGGGTCCTTTGCGAAAGCGCAGTGGCCTATCGCGTCCTCGACGACTTTCCGAATGCTCTGTAAGAAAGATAAGTTGGCTGAGTCGCCGATGAACATGTATTTGCCCCGCGAATCGCGGAGCAGCCGCGACATATGGTGATGCGCCGATGCCGAAGGCGAGCCGCCCAAGTCGCGGCTCCGGCACGTGTCGTCTGCTGGGTGGGAGGAAGACTGCAGCTCCATGTGGTGGAAGAAACTCTGGCCATCATCTACCCCGTCACTAAAAGCGACGTCGCCGTCCACTTGCTGTCGTTGCAGCTCCTGTTGATGACCTATGCTTGGAGCGTCGCGAGAGCGGGTGGCGCACCGCCTTTGCGCAGGTT